TTTAATTTTATGGGTAAATGAATTTCGACGTTAGCATGGAAATTTGATGGTTGAAGAGTCGTTGGCTGCGATGATGGCGAAAGGCTGTTTTAATCGGTTCATCGCTGCTTCAGTGGTGTTGATGGCAGAAAAGCGATATCGAATGTGTACCATTTCTGCGATGGAATATTCAGTTACCAATATATCGAACACGTAATGTTATTGTATAATTTTGTAGCTTACTCACTTCTTCATTGTTACCAGTCGTGAATCACTGATACTAGTTTGCCTACTGTCCGTAGCAGTTATTCTCAAGCGAAACGTGTTTTTATGGGATTGATCTTATGATTTCTGAGATGTTTTCTATAGGATTTCCATTGATCTCTCCATTTTCGTAAGTTGCAGGTCGAAATTGTCTTTCTTGCGATCGCATGTATACAATGCTCCATGTTTCCGCGCGAATCGAACAGGGCGCAGCGTGAAAGGGGTTGAAGAGGACCCGAGGCGAACGCGAAACCGTTCGCAAAAGTGACAGAAGTTTCGGGTTCCGAAGCCGGCCGGTTTCTCGGAATACTTTTCGGCCGCAACCGAGTTTTTTTCGATGGCAACCACGGGCGCGTTATAACGGTAATTCCGGCCGAACTGTAATTGAAAGAGAGCAGCAGCGGCCGCGCTTAATTGCGCTAGGTCGAAATCATCGAGGGAACGACGGGGGCCGCTGCGCAGCAGCCCTCTTCTTCTTCGAAAGTCATTTTCGGCGAGAGATCTCCCCTTCTTTTCCCGTTCCCCCCCTCTGCAGCATAACCTCTGCTCGACCGTTGCGCGCCAACTTCGTCGCTCTTCTAAGCTCCAATTACTCACAACACGGGGTTGCATCGAACGGATCCCGAAAAAACCCTTCGAGAGATCGTTTCGGGGTTTCGAAACGACACGGAGGCTGTGTTTACGCGTCAACGAGATTGCGCTTCTCCTTTTCAGCCCGAACGTCTGCGATAAACTGGAAGCCCCGAGTTCTTTGAAATTTCAACAGGTTGCCCTACATCGTAAAATATTCCGTGGTATTTCTACTAATTCGTGTCTTCGTATTGCGCCCGTTTTGCGGTTTCCTCTGTATATTATGCTGAATCCGAATTCAAGGGTTCTCTGCGAACGTTTCTGGCGGGTATGGGGTGTTTAATCGCGGAAATGTGATTCCAGGTTTACGACGGCGGTAGTTACTGAATAATGAAGAGGTTGCACGTGGTTATCAACAATGGAATCCAGTATACACTAACATGTGAGCTAAACACTCGAATTACTGAGTTCGCGAGTAACCGAGAATCCGAAGAATCTAGATCGCGAGGAATAGCGTACAAAGTGTCTTAAACAAAAATATCTTTCATAATATTTGTGAACATAAATATAATATCAATCTCTCCAACAATAATTTATTTCTTCGAGTAAACATGGAATTCTCTATCAAAATTCCCTTACGTCCCTATTCTAATACACATTATTCACATTTTATGATGCTCGTTGCTCAATTTTACCATCCACCCCAGAAGATTTCTAAAACTCAACAATTCACCAATCAGCTCGTGTAATCAGTGACCCGCGTAATGGAAACCCTATTAAATCGGTGTCCGCGCAAGTAACGTTCCGCCTTGTAAAAATCCGGGTGATCAAAGCGATCCGCGAAATCAAAGCGAGATCATCGTGTCGGCGTCCCGCGCGGGCACACTTCCTGAACAAACGTAACGCGTTCACGAGAGCGTGTAATAACCGCAGGAAGATACAAATAAGACCGTCCCATTACACCGATGCAACGTGTTATACATTTTTCGACGGTGTATCGGAGTCGAGCTGCACCGTACCGCGGACAATGGAACGGTGCACGCGTGCGTGTGTATCCACATACCTGCGGCAACAAAACAC